CTGTGTGTACTGTGTGTACTGTGTGTGGTCTGTGAGCTGTGTGGACTCTACATATTGTCCACAGATGTTTGACACTTCATACTGAAGAGTTCTGACAGATTCTTTAATTTCTCAGTTTCAGTCATGATGTCAAGGATCAGGAGGAAGAGACAGTTTGTATTTTAGATTTAAAACAATAAAATAAATGAACTACTTTACCCAGGATCTGAGCTCTTTCCTCCCATGAATTTGTGGCTCTCTGAAACTCCTTATATCAGCTTTAAAGATAATAAATTAAAGTTTGATGCAGAGGAAGCTGAGTCATCCTCAATATACAGTATACTCCAAGCACACATTTCACAAGATCTAACAGTCTCCTAAATCGTTTTGTCTCTTCCCATCATAAGATAATCTTGGTCTAAAACATAAACGGTGGCAGGTGATGTGCATTTCCTACAGGAGCACTAGGATTTTAATTGCTTTTGAGGATTTTATCACAAAATGTTCGCCTTAGAGTGAACTTTTGAGCCGTTCAAACTTTCTAAGACTTTAACAAACTTATTTTACTCCAACACAGTTCACAGGAACTCTTCATGTCCAAACATTACACTTTGTCAGATTAGATTATTACTGCTGAGTTTTACAGAAGGATGTTGATGTATGTTAGTATTTCTGGCAGTAGTTGTATTGTACCCTTCACTATCTCTTCAAACATTTCCTAGTTTAAATACTTCCACTATAATCCAGGTCTGAAGACATGTCTGAGTACCTTTGGTGGTGATAACTTCTGTGAGGCAGCAGCGTAGAGTGTGAGACTTGGCATCCTTTTGTGGCAGGAGACACAGCAGCAGGATTCTTGCTACACAGCGGAGGAAAGCCATTTCTGAGTCTGGACTGACCAAACAGGGATGGAGAGGAAACGGGCGGGCCACCTCCTCTGGTCTTTGAGTGTAGACAATAAACCAGAGAGACAAACAAGTGTTGATAAGTGTCACAGAGATGTCAGATTAGATCTTAGAATATACAGCCTTCACCTCTTCCTCCCTAAAGACAAGCTGCTGCTGTACTCATCCCAAACAAAGCCAGACATCTGTGTGTGATCAGATTTTACATTTCTTCTGACTGAAGACAACAGAAAGCAGAGGATGTGTGAATCATTCCTCTGTCTGTCCACACTGTGAGTTACTAACCGTGTTTCCATCAAGGCTTTTTGATGCGCATTTAGAAGTGTCGCATTAACACTGCGAAAAAAAAGTCGGATGGAAACAGCAAAATTTGAAAAAAAATCCTCAATTCACTAAAAAGTTTTTACGCTCGCTTGAGGTGGTTTTTGGATGATTCGTAAAGTAGTTAATGCGTAAAACGGGAGATGGAAACACGTTTGCCGAAAAAATTCTGACGTAGCCCATATTTACCTCATGTGACGTTCAGCTGTTTCCGCTTTCCTGCCTCGTCCTGGATGTTGTGGTCTCTCCCATGTGTATGGAGCCCTGCGTAGTTTCACGTGCCTTTCTGCTGCGTAGTTTAACATTGCGTTTATTTCTCTACGTCTCCTGGCAGCGT